ACCGCAGCGCCGGCGAGCACTGCCCCTTCACGGCGAGGGTTACCGACTAACCGGATAGCCGGCGAGCACTGCCCCTTCACGGCCCAGGGTTACCGACTAACCGGATAGCCGGAGAGCATTGCCCCTTCGCGGCGAGGGTAACCGACTAACCGGATAGCCGGCGAGCACTGCCCCTTCACGGCCCAGGGTTACCGACTAACCGGATAGCCGGAGAGCATTGCCCCTTCGCGGCGAGGGTAACCGACTAACCGGATAGCCGGCGAGCACTGCCCCTTCACGGCCCAGGGTTACCGACTAACCGGATAGCCGGAGAGCATTGCCCCTTCGCGGCGAGGGTAACCGACTAACCGGATAGCCGGCGAGCACTGCCCCTTCACGGCGAGGGTAACCGACTAACTGGATAGCCGGTGAGCACTGCCCCTTCACGGCGAGGGTAACCGACTAACTGGATAGCCGGTGAGCACTGCCCCTTCACGGCGAGGGTAACCGACTAACTGGATAGCCGGTGAGCACTGCCCCTTCACGGCGAGGGTAACCGACTAACTGGATAGCCGGTGAGCACTGCCCCTTCACGGCGAGGGTAACCGACTAACTGGATAGCCGGTGAGCACTGCCCCTTCACGGCGAGGGTAACCGACTAACTGGATAGCCGGTGAGCACTGCCCCTTCACGGCGAGGGTAACCGACTAACTGGATAGCCGGTGAGCACTGCCCCTTCACGGCGAGGGTAACCGACTAACTGGATAGCCGGTGAGCACTGCCCCTTCACGGCGAGGGTAACCGACTAACTGGATAGCCGGTGAGCACTGCCCCTTCACGGCGAGGGTAACCGACTAACTGGATAGCCGGTGAGCACTGCCCCTTCACGGCGAGGGTAACCGACTAACTGGATAGCCGGTGAGCACTGCCCCTTCACGGCGAGGGTAACCGACTAACTGGATAGCCGGTGAGCACTGCCCCTTCACGGCGAGGGTAACCGACTAACTGGATAGCCGGTGAGCACTGCCCCTTCACGGCGAGGGTAACCGACTAACTGGATAGCCGGTGAGCACTGCCCCTTCACGGCGAGGGTAACCGACTAACTGGATAGCCGGTGAGCACTGCCCCTTCACGGCGAGGGTAACCGACTAACTGGATAGCCGGTGAGCACTGCCCCTTCACGGCGAGGGTAACCGACTAACTGGATAGCCGGTGAGCACTGCCCCTTCACGGCGAGGGTAACCGACTAACTGGATAGCCGGTGAGCACTGCCCCTTCACGGCGAGGGTAACCGACTAACTGGATAGCCGGTGAGCACTGCCCCTTCACGGCGAGGGTTACCGACTAACCGGATAGCCGGTGAGCACTGCCCCTTCACGGTTAGGGTTACTGACTAACCGGTTCACCTTTCAGTGCAGTTGATCCCTGCACAGCTCAATGAGCACAGCGATCCTGGGTGTGGCTAGTGGACCTCACAGGACGTGGCCCTGGCTAGCAGAACACACCAGGCAACCACCACTCGACCGACGAAGGACAAAACGGGCACCGATTGCAAGGGGCAAAGGGTTGGGCCTTCGGTGGGCAGGGCAGTCTCAGGCTGCTGACGGCATGGCAAGCGGGTTATCATCAATGGGGAAACTGAGGCCCAGTGACGTGGCCAAGGGATCCCCCAGAGAGACTGTCGCCTCCTGTAACCAGGGTCTGCTCCCACCCAGAGCCAGGGACCCAGCGTCCTGGCCACCACAATGGAGCGCCGAGAGTCCCGGACCTCGCAGGTGCGCTTCTGCTGCTCCAGGGTCTCTTTGGGGAGCCTCTTCCGCTCGATCTCCATCGAGAGCCCCACGATGTACTCCCGGCAGATGGTGATGAGCTGCTGGGCCTGTGGCGAGAGGAGCGCGGGGTCAGGCACCGTCCCCCGTGGCTCCCGAGAGCGGGGGCCTGGGGGCCAGGGCGCGCCGGGCCCTCACCTCAGCAATCTCCTGCTTGTTATCCACCACCAGCAGCGGCACGCTCAGCAGGATGGCGCGGAACTTCTCCACCGCCTCCTCGAACTTGCCGGCCGTGGTGAGCTGGTAGCAGACTTGCAGGCGCTGGATCAGGTCGTTGAGCTTCAGGCCGACGACCGGGAGGGCATTCTTCAAGCCGGCGTCCTTCCTGCAGGGGCGGGAGGGGCAGGACCGGCCCTGAGAAACCGGGAATGCACCGGGAGGCCAGCCGGGCAGGGAGGGGCGAGTTACCCTGATGGGCCGTCTGCAGTGCAAACGGGCCAGATCCACACGGCTCCTCGGCCCCACGGAGGCCCCCTGCCGCCTGACTGGCTGTTCCGGTGCGTGCTGGGAAAGTCTGGGTCACTCCCCACAGCGAGCTACCCCGGGGCAGAGGACGTGTTTCCAGATGCCCCGCCCCAGGGTGTGGGCTGGGCCTGTTGTGTCAGAAAGCGACTGGCACACGGGGATGCCCCCGGACACGCAGCACGCAGGGCTGGCGGGTCCGCCCGGCTGCTCACCAGTTGCGATGTGGGTATCCGTACATGGCGGGGAGGCAGGGCAGTGCCTGGTAGGTGGTGCGGCCCCGGGCATAGGTCTGCAGGAACAGCTGCTTGTAGGGGCCAAAGTGAGTCACTCCCACCTGGTCGTGGAGGAGCTGAAGGGGAAGGCAAGCGCCACGCTTACTACACCGGCCGGCCAGCCTGAGAGCCCATTAGCACCGCACCCCCCGTCTGCCACCGAGCGGCCCAGGCCACGAGCGGGGCCTTGCCCCGTGACTCCTGGCCGGAGGAGTCCGACGGGAGGGAGCGGGGAGCCTCACCCTCATGGCCGTCTCAAAGGAACCTCCCAGGACGTGATCCACCGGCAGCTGGGAATTGTTGCACCAGACCTACGGGAGCAGGAAAGACGACAAGAGGAGCTGCAGGGTCCCCCCCCCCAACGCTCCCCAGCAGCAGGGCTACTCGCGTCTCC